TCTCACCACTCTTATTCAACATAGTGCTGGAAGTCCTAGCCAGAGCAATAGAAAGAAATAAAACGCATCCAAATAGGGAAGGAAGAAGTCAAACTGTCACTTTTTGCAGATGACATGATTTTGTATATAGAAAACCTTAAAGACTCTACTAAAAATCTATTAGAAACAATAAACATATGCAGTCAAGTTGCAGGGTACAAAATCAATGTGCAAAAATCCATTTTCTTCCTGTATACTAGCAACAAAGCTTCAGAAAAAGAAATGGAAAAAACAATTCCTTTTGCAATTGCAACCAAAAGAATAAAATACGTAGGAATAAACTTAACAAAGAATGTGAAAGACCTATATACTGAAAATTACAAAGTATTATTAAAAGAGATTGAAAAAGACACAACAAAATGGAAAAATATCCCATGTTCATGGATTGGAATAATCAACATAATTAAAATAGCCTTATTGCCCAAAGCAATATACAGATTTAATGCAATCCCCATCACAATCCCAGTGTCATTTTTTTAAAAAAAGAGCGAGAAATCATCAGATTTGTATGGAACCACAAAAGACCAGAATACCCAAAGCAATCCTGAGAAAAAAGAATGAAGCTAGAGGTATCACACTACCTGACTTCAAATTATACTACAGAGCTATGATAATCAAAACAGCATGGTATTGGTAGAGAAATAGACACACAGATCAATGGAACAGAATAGAGAGCCCAGCTATAAAATCACACATATATGGACAGATAATTTTTGACAAAGGAGCCAGAAATGCACCTTGGAGTAAAGATAGTCTCTTCAATAAATTGTGCTTGATAAACTGGAAAGTCACATACAAATGAATGAAACTGGGTTACAGTTTGTCCCCATGTACAAAAATTAATTCAAAATGGATCAAAGACCTAAACATATGACCGGAAAAAACAAGTTACATCGAAGAAAATATAGGTACCAAACTTGACCTGAAAGGCAAGGGAGGTAAAGGTAAAAATAAATGAATAGGACCATATCAAACTGAGGAGCTTTTGCACAGCAAAAGAAATGGACAACAAAACAAAGAGGCAGCTAACCAGATGGGAGATGATATTTGCAAACAGTAGCTCTGACAGAGGTTTAATTTCAAAAATATATAAAGAACTCATAAAACTCAACCCAAACAAACAAACTAACAAACAACCCAATCAAAAAGTGGACAGAGCCCTGGCTGGTTTGGCTAAGTGGATAGAGCGTTGGCCTGCGGACCAGAAGGTTCAGGGTTCAATTCTGGTCAAGGGCACATGCACAGGTTGAGGGCTTGATCCCCAGCAGGGGCATGCAGGAGGCAGCCAATTAGTGATTCTCTCTCATCATTGATGTTTCTATCTAACTCTCCCTCTCCCTTCCTCTCTGAAGTCAATAAAAATATTTTTTAAGAAAAGTGGCCAGAGGACCTGAAAATACACCTCTCCCAAGAAGGCATACAAACAGCCAATAACTTTATGAAAAGACTAGAGGCCTGGTGCATGAATTTGTGCACAGGTGGGGTCCCTTAGCCTGACCTGTGGGACCCATTGGGGCCATCTTGCCCAGTCCTGATCAGGGCCCCAAGGGGCCGGCCGGCCAGGGGAAGGGACTGTGGGAGGTTGGCTGGCCGCCGGAAGTTGGCTGTGTGAGCGCACTGACCACCAAGGGGCAGTTCCTGCATTGAGTGTCTGCCCCCTGGTGGTCAGTGCGTGTCATAGCCACCAATCATTTGGTCAACAGGTCATAATGGTTGCTTAAGCTTTTATATATATAGATGTTCAACCTTGAGATAAAAGATGGCAGTGGAGTAAGTGGCTGCTGCACAGACATGCTCCCAGGACCAAACTGGAATTACAATTAAAATACAGAAAAACTTCCTGACTAATCAATTGAAGACTCACTGGAGAGAACCCTGATAACTGAGGATGGTAATTGGAGACTGCATAGAGCCTGGTAGGAGGGGCAGAGGCACGAAAGGGCTGGCTGGGCTCCCACATACAGCAGCTGAAGTTCCAGAGAGATATCTCAGCTGTGGGGAGTTGCCACTGAGAACTGAGAACTCTGGAGTCTAATCCCCAAGCTGTCCCACCCCCCCCTTGCAGGGAACACCAGAACTAAAAAGGGTACCCAAACAACATCTGGCTGTGAAAAGCAGTGGAGTTGCTGTCTTCTAGGGAGAAATGGCTGGAAATGCAGAAACCCCCTTAAAGGGCCAAAAGCACAAAATTCCCTGTGGAGCCACTCACCTTGTGCTCCAGCAGAGGGAGGGCAGAGTGGACTGGAGCTGTGTTAGCAGAAGCCATGATTGGGGGCTCTGGAGTTAGAACTCACAAGGCAGACACCTCAGTTTTCTGTGCTGAGTCATTCCCTCACATTGTGGAGGTCATCTTTCTCATGCAGATATTTGCTATACAGGTGGCTTTGCCTGGGGGGAAGACAGTTGACCCACCCAATTGGAAAACACCTTGTCCCACAGAGCGGAGTTTCTGAGGCCCATTAAGAGACTGAGAATAACAGTTAGCCCTGGAATGCCTCAAGGATTTATTTTCTCTCATGAAGAAAAATTTTCTACTTGAGGTACATGGGAAGCTTTGTTAAATAAAGAAATAATAACTAAATAAAAGATGTTCAACCTCACTGGCAATTAGGGAAATACAAATCAAAACTACAATAAGATACCACCTTACACCTGTTAGAGTGGTTATTATCAACAAGACAAGCAATAACAAGTGTTGGAGAGGTTGTGGAAAAAAGGGAACGCTCATTCAGTGCTGATGGGAATGTAGACTGGTACAACCACTATGGAAAGCAGTCTGGCAATTCCTCAAAAAATTAAGAATAGAGCTACCATATGACCCAGCAATCCTATTCCTGGGTATCTATATATATAAAAGCCTAGGAGACTATTATGACTGGAACGACTGGTTGACCAGTCTCTATGACGTGCACTGACCACCAGGGGCAGATGCTCAAAACAGGAGCTGCCCCTGGTAGTCAGTGCGCTCCCACAGTCAACCTCCTGCAGCAGGCCAACCTCCAAAAAAAACCTGCAGCCCTTCCCCCAGCCCCCCCAGCGGGCTGATCCCCCCAACCAGCTGGCCAACCTCAAGGTCCCTCCCCCTGGCCAGCCGTCCCCCTGTTAGACCTCGATCACCGGCCAGGCGGAGGGACCCCACCCATGCACTGGGCCTCTAGTATATCCATAAAACTCAAAATCATGTATTTGCAAAGATATATGCACCCCTATGTTCATTACAGCATTATTCATGGTGGCCAAGACATGGAAACAACCAAAGTGTCCCATGATAGAGGACTGGATAAAGAAGATATGATACATATACACAATGGAATACTACTCAGCCATAAGAAAGGATGAAATAGTGCCATTTGCAACAACATGGATGGAACTTGAAACATTATGCTAAGTGAAATAAGTCAGACAGAAAAAGCCAAGAACCATATGATTTCACTCCTATGTGGGATATAAACCTGAACTTATGAACACAAACAGCAGAATGGTGGTTGCCAGAGATAAGGGGAATGGAGGGAGAAAAAAGTCCTAATATAAAGTGAGAGGAGAAGATTTGACTTTGGGTGGTGGGCACACGGTACAATATACAGATCTTGTTACATAGAAACCCACACATGAAACCTATATGTTCATGTTGACCAATGTCACTGCAATCAATTTAATAAATAAAAATTTAAAAACCCACAAAAAAAACAAAAACACAACAACCCAGAAAAACAAGGCATAGAGAGAAAAATAAGAAAAATGATGATTTCAAGTGGTTCAACCTAATATATTAAAGTACCTAGTCTGATGCTTTGTCACTTAGAAGACATGGTGATGCGTCTTCTCTTTAGAATCTGGGGTGGGGTGTACAGGGTGGGGTGCTGGAATGGAGGTATTCTCACAGAAATGCTTTCCATCATCTGGGTAGCCCAACTCGAACAAAAATCCTGACTTGTGGATGCAAAACTCCTTTTCCTGGCTACTTTCAGAGTAGAACTGTCAGGTTCTTTGTAGAGTTTTATCAAAGTTTTCCTTTAAAAAGGACAGCCTTTTGAGGTGGAAAATATCATGACATGATACTTGGGCAATGATGGTGTCAGGGCTGGAAGAAGAGGAAGAGCTTTGAAGTCTCCCTAAGCGAATGACCCTTTTTCTCCTGAAGCCTTTGCTAGGTACCTGCTTAGTTGGGCACATAGCTTTCTGTGCCTCAAAACCCCCTGGCATTATCTTGGAGATCTTGGAAAGCTGAAAGCTGCCCTTTGGGTTTTCATTCCTGTTTCTTTTGGTTTGGGAACCTTAAGATGCATTGAAAGAACATGAAAATTTCATCATAAAGGAGGAAATGAATTATTTTCTAAACTGTAAAGGATCTATGCATTTTGATTTGTTTGGTTTACATAATTTTCACTTTCGGTCTATCTATGGCAGTGGTCATACATCTCTATGTGATTTGACTCTACCTCCTAGCAGTTCGCACTTGAAAGATAATTTGCTTTTCATTTCTAAAGAGAAAAAGTTTTATGGTTGGGACTTGACAGTATTAAATAGTTTACGGTTTTGATTATCTCACTTGTTTTAGTTTCATAATCTTACCTTATATTTAGGTCAAGCCCCAGTTAAGCCTTTGGGATTTGTGATGTACAGCTAAGTTTCCATTATGTCAAGTGGGTCATTTCAAAAAATTGGTTACCATGGGCTTAATTCTCTGATAGTGTCAAGTCTGAGATGTGGTAAGAGAAGTATTTTTGAGGTGACAGGAGTCATTTTCCCGTGGATGATGCTGATTGTTTCATTGACAAGGCTTATCCTGGACGCTCTCTGGCCTCACCTAAAAGTCGTAAAGTCAAGGGGCTTGCAGCAGTAGAAGAAAGTTACGTGACCAGCGCAGAAATGGCTTGTGCCTGTTCCTAGGCCATATCCAACTCATACCAACATTCAGGAAATGCAATGGGTCAGTTGAAAGCCAAACCGCGTGTCCATACCTTTTAGCATTTTCACAGCCACAGTCCGGCAGGTGGGTGATTTCTTAATGCCAAATGCAGATGCTTGTACCACTTTTCCAAAAGCCCCTCTTCCAAGTGATTTGCCTACAATGAAAAGAATACATTGATTTGTTTACCAAGCCAGTGGGGTGAGTTTAAGTCTTTCTCAGGAAGGAAGTGCCATTTTTCCTATTTGTAGCTGTGAGGCACGTGTAACTTTGAATGGGATCTCCAAGGAACTGACCCTAAAAGTGTCATTTCTTGAGTAAATTTTTTCCAACTCTTTACTGTGCTTCTGAGGTACCCTCATTCTTCACAGCTATGCTGGGCACCTAGAAGGCCTTTTGTGCAGGTGGATGGCCAGTTTCCTCTTCACAAAATCCTCCTGGAAGGGAGAGGCCACCAAATCCTGGGTAGTCTCTTCCATTGTTTAATAACATTATTAACAAGAATATTTCCCTGTGTCTAACCTAGGCCCCTTTTCTTGCCACTTAAGGACATTTCTTCTGATCTATTTTTAGCAGTAAGCGAGAAATTGAGAATGATAGTTATTGCTATTGGTTATAATAACGCTTCATAGATTAAAAAACAAAACAAATAAGCCCCCCCCCCCCCCCCAACTAACTCATTTCTCTGACTTCCTTGCCAGGCAAAATAGACCCAGTATTTCTAACATTTCTTCATACGATGATTATAAATCATATTCAGCGCATGAGACTATCAACCACTGGTAGTAATTTGTTTCAACCATAGAGAGGTGGTTGCCAAATGCAATAACAAAGCAAGGGTTCTTTCATGGCATCTGTTAGGTTACACTATAACAACTATTCACATGTTTCTTTTCTCAGCCTTGCATGTGACAACTTGACTGAGAGGGACAATGACCATGTCTGAGTCTTCCCAGAGCCTAGCCCAGTACCTGCTGCATAGAAGGTTTGCTGGATATTAGTGCAGAATCAATAGTAGCAGTTGGGAACTTGTGAGATATTCAAAGCAAGTCTCATACACTCCTAGGTAACTAGAGGGACCCATGAGATGAAGACCTTGAGAGGCATCCCCTGGATAACCTCAGCTACTGTTATATCAGGGGGCTTCCTTTTGCATCACCAGGAAATAGATAGCTAAGTAGAACCTAGAGAAACAGTACACCTCAAGTATGACAAGGCAAAAGGAGTGAGCCAAAGAAGTCACTCGTTTTTAGTTATTCTGAGTGAAAAAAGTCAACAAAATGCCTCTGGTCAAAAGTTAAGTCCCGGTAGTTAGTGTTGATTTAACACAACATCTCTCGAAACCAAGTCCTCATTCTGAGCCTGTTCTGATAACAAGCTCTCAGTTAGTTAGCCTCCCTCCCTCCCTCCCTTCCTCATAGTCCAATCTCTTCCCCCAAAGAATATAGTTTTTTGTTTTTTTAGTTTTTTTAATTCTTGTAAAGTTTGTAACGAAGCTTTCCTCCTTCACCATATTAGGACCTTTATACTTTTTATGCACAACTACTCAGTAACAAAGATGTCTTCACTCTGCCTCTGCTTAGTATCTTCCATTACCAATCACCTTTAGGCATCCAGTTAGGACATGGGAAGTGTTCAGTTACCAACATAATTATATGAGCTTTTCTGTAGCAGTCTCTGCATCTATCTCAGAGGGACACACTCTGCATTAGGAAGGGAACACGGGTGACATCACAAGCCTTTCCTGTGGTCACACATGTACCTGTAGTGACTGATAAAGATCGTTCGTTCCTCCCAGAGCACATGCCATGGGCTGGGATGCAGTCAGTGTTTCCTTCTTCAGATAAAATTGTCCAAGATATAGACCAGCAAGGGGACTGTTAGCTTAAATATAAGAGCCTTGAGTGGCCCTTGAAGGTGCAGGACGTGGAGATCACGTATTGAAAGAGCACTGGCAGATACCTTCTCCAGACTCGTGAAAATGGCTGCATTTGGTTACAGGCTTAGTCCTTGCTTTTTTAGGGTAAAAGAACAATGCTTTCCTTTTGAAGTGCCTTCTACCATCTAATATGAAAATTGTCCTGAGCCTGAGAAGTGGTAAGATAATCTCTGTCTTGGGACACCTCTCCACAGGCTGCAAAGACTCTTGCTTGTTTGGGGCAGATGGAATCCTTTTCTTTCCACACTTCAGTCCCCGGGCATGCCCTTCTTCGCCATCACAACACTCTGTTTTAACCAGTGTTTGGGGACTTTGCTTCTATTACTGAGAATCAACTCGTTCTCACTTGGCTTTCCTCAGTCTTTTCCTTTGTTCTCTTGGAAGCTGATTGCTGCCTCACAAAGCAGCATGAAGTTATCTATCTATCTATCTATCTATCTATCTATCTATCTCTCTATATATCTATATAGAGAGATAGATAGATAGCTTCATGCCAGAGGAAGGGAGAGGGAGAGAGAGAGAAACATCAATGATGAGAGAGAATCATTGATTGGCTGCCTCCTGCATACTCCCTACTGGGGACCGAGCTTCCAACTTGGGCATATGCCCTGACAGGGAATCGAACCATGACTTCCTGGTTCATAGGTCGATGCTCAACCACTGAGCCACTCCGGCTGGGCTGCTATGGGCTCTTTAATCATCTGGTGCACTGGAATCTTTCTGCAGACTCACAGTTCAGTATCGGGGGAGCCCAGTCACACTGGACTTGACTTGGCCTGATCCTCCTTTTCTCTTAAAGTCTTCCTTTGGTGTTACCCAAATGCCACTCACTAGCTTGTAAACTGCTAGGTCATAGTCATACAATGAAAGGATATTGGAATTTCTTCCAAGAATGACTGGCCAGGGTCCCTGGGACACTGGGGACAGTGCATGGCAGCATGGGGCTGAGCTCCTCTCTGGCATCCAGGGCTGGTCTTATAAGAGGCAGCACCAGCCCAGGTCCCATTCACCTGCCATTTTCCAGACTCCCCGTGTTGTTTCCCATATTCGCTAATTCTGACAATTTTTCCAATAGAAAGGTGCAATGTCAGACATTTATAAATGTATAGGAGGCGAATTCTCTCTGAGGTTTAATGTAGAATCACCAACAATATAGGTTTCTTTAGTTACCAGATTTCAGGAATTTCAATGGTAGCAACACCTTTGACTGTTTCTAACTGTATCTATCTCTCAGGTACTGTAAATTCTGACTTCTCTCTCCAGGACTGAAAGTAACCCACAGAGTGCAGACAGCTGAGACCAGAAGCAGCTTGATCTATGCTTTTCTCTACATTCAGAACCCTGTTGTAATTCTGCCCATCAAACCTGCCTTTTCTTCCCATCTCTCCAGATATACTTTCACTTAACAGACACTGCTTCGGATTTCTTTCTCTCATTTATTTGGCTTAAAACAAACAAACAAACAAACAAACAAATAAATCTTGGGCCTCTTTGCTCCCAAGTTAGTAGGACAAGCATTACTCTGGCCCTTGCAGCCACACTCTGCATTGAGACTTTGCTACACTTCCTCTCACCCATCAAAGATACTCACATGTATATTAGCCAAATCGTAGCAGCTGGGAAGGAAAAGAACCATGAAAAAGATCTTCAACAAGAAGAATCTCCTGAAATGGGATTATCTACACTCATTGAGCCCTAGGGGAATTCTGGTAGAAGGACTGGCACCCCTTCCCCGCCTGGACGTGTTATGGTCACAGTGACACTAGGCCGAGGAATGAAGAAAAGGGATGGAAAGCTCATGTGTCCTGCATTGGAAGGAGCATATTTGATTGCGACTAATAACCCTGGAAAGCAACGTGACCTGAGAATGGCTTATGGTTGTGGGAAAATTATCCCATATTCCATGCTAAGGTCACTGAAGGGGCTGGGCAGGCTGCCATATAATTTAGACTTGCAGATGGAACTCATCTAGTGTGCCACCTGCCCTTACCTACTCTAAATTTGGTTGATTTTTTTTTCCTGTCAGCAGCCATTACTGGCTTTTGTCTGATTCCTAATTTTCTTCCCCAAGCCAAACAGAACATACTCTTGGGGCCAACTACTTTTTCTCATGTAGGAAGAAATGTAAGTGGGATCATTTCAAGGCCTAAGAGAATGAGAAAAGTCATTTCTCTCTCTCTGTCACCTCACACCTCCACCTCCAAAGAAATGCCAATATTTTTTAAAAATATATTTTATTGATTTCAGAGATGAAGGGAGAGGGGAGAGAGAGAGAAACATCAATGATGAGAGAGAATCATTGATTGGCTGCCTCCTGCACACCCCCTACTGGGGATCGAGCCTGCAACCCCGGCATGTACCCTTGACCAGAATTGAACCCGGGACCTTTACTCCGCAGGCCGATACTCTATCCACTGAGCCAAACCAGCTAGCGCCCAATATCTTTTCATTGTATGACAATGACCTGCATGTAGTGGGAAAAGCAGGCAGTGCCATTGAATTTGGAACAACAGGCTCTTTATACCGAGTGAGAAATCTGGGCACACTGGATGCATGGCCTCTTTTCCTAGTTCCAGCTATTCTGGCACACGTCAGAGTGAGTGGAAAACTTTCAGAACCCACAAGCCAAATATTTTGGGTGGGAGTAATTGAGGTTCCCACTGTTTTGTAATAACTGGGCTGAAGAGTAATTTGCACTGTGGTGTCTAAGCTGGAGGAACTTGGGGGTAAGCTGAAGGAAAACACATTTGCCTGTTGTTTACAGCATCTGTGTTACCTGGAAAACAACAGTCCTCACTTTTCAGAAGTGAAACTTAAGTGACCCCCTAAGACTTTCTTCTCTGTTTGGACCTTTTGAACACCCAGGAAAATTCAAAGTATGTGGTGGATTTGTGCAGACTGGTTTTTGATCCACAACCTTGAAGAGTACCAACTCTTTCACCAAATGTTTGATTTTACTGTGCCTTGTCATCTTGAATTACTTTCCAGGTCATAAGTTTCTGACTCCTCAAAAATGTCATTAATTAAGAGCACCTAGGCTTGTAAGGCTCCTGATGGAACTAAACTCTCCTTTCCCTTCACTTATCTACTTTTATGGTTACCTCCTGCAGTGGTTCTCAACCCCATTCAGATGAGGCCCAGAAATCAGGATTTTAAAAAGATTCCCAGGTGATTCTAATGTGTAGCCAAGGTTGAGAACCACTGCCTTAGAGGGAAGAGACTCAAATACTTTTGTGTCTGCTGCTTAGAGAAAGTGCTTGGTAAATGTTGAAAGAATGAATAGGTGCTCCTTGTCTCCTTGTCCCTTACACCATCCTCTCCGCATTCTCATAGACTCATATACCTCTGTGTCCCTCTCCCTTGCTAGGTTGTGAACTGCTGAGGGTAGAATCCTGAGTCTAACCTATTTTTGCATTCCTCAATGCAGTCTTTTGCATGCAGTGGGTGCTTAGTATGGGGTTAGGAATCTGTTGAACAAATACATTACCTAGTTTAAGTCTCTCCCGGGCAAACTCCCACTTGCTGGCATCATACGGGAGCCGCTCACACTGCTCATCCAGGGGAACTTCATCTGGGTCCATTATAATTGATAGGTAGTCAGTTTTTATTTCAGAAGAAGACTGAGAAATAAAGAGATCCCAAAGTCATCAATGACTTAAAAACCCCCTGATAGCCAATTTAAAACAATATTAGACAATATCTCCTGCTATTTTGGTTCATTTGGTTAAAACATATGGTGAGGTACAGAAAGTAGCACACACATATGCACATCACACCTGAGCATGTGATGTCTATCAAACAACCCTTGCTGTTCCCGCCCTGCATTTCTGTAGTATTATCCTATATAATAAAAGCCTCGTATGCTAAGTGTCCAACCGTATTACTGTTCGACCAGTCGCTATGATGCGCACTGACCACCAGAGGGCAGATGCTCCGACCAGTAGGTTAGCTTGCTGCTGGTGTCCAGCCGATCAGGACTGGGTGAGATGTGCCGGACATGCCCTGGAGCCTTCCCATGGTCCCTCCCGGCCCCTATCGTGCACCGGTGGGGTCCCTTGGCCTGGCCTGCACCCTCTTGCAATCTGGGACCCCTTGGGGGATGTCAGAGAGCTGGTTTTGGCCCGATCCCCACAGGCCAGGCCGAGGGACCTCCACCAGTGCACGAATCTGTGCACCGGGCCTCTAGTCACAGATGAAAAACCCTCAGATTCTCCAGCAAACTTATTTGCTTGTTCTGCAAAGCATTTTAATAAAACCATTCCATACAAGGACTAAAAATAACTTCTCATGGCCATTCTGTGTAAGCAGGAATATACATTACAAATAGGCTGACAGTGGGGTCCATGATTATGGCTTTCTACATTTGCAAGAAAGGATAGAGATGGTAAAGTAAGCTCAGGGTCTGCCTCTCTGGGACAGCCTAGAGGTACATTTCATATGAAGTGCTTAAATATACTCAGAAGGCCTGGCCACTTAGCTGCCTGAAAATGACCACAGGGTCCATTAGTGAGATTAGAATAGGATTTACCTTCAATAAGAAACAGAAGTTGATTATTTCAAATACCAAAGAGTAAGACTTACACATAGCAACATTCATTCCAAGTTCCTTTGACCATTGGTAGGACATCAAATAAGTAAGGTGGACATCAAGTAAGTAAGGTGGACATCTGCCTTCAGGTGCATTTTTTATCTTGGTAATGCAAATCAAGCCCAGAAAATACTTTTTTTTCAGATCATAAATAACTGGATTTACATTTAGTGTCTAAATTCATATCCATGGGTATATTTTCTGTTAGTTAATTGTAGAATTGATTGTATTTCTGTGGGCAGGACAGAAAGGAAGTATGCTTACCAATATAAGGTGGGTTTTGATAACTCGTGCTAGAGTTATGTAAATTTTATTTAAATGAGTTCTAGGGCCTTTCCCTTCAATGCTTTCCCTCAACCAGATCAGAATTCAGTAGAGAGGACAACCTCTCCATACACATCATGTCACAGCCACCCACATTCTTCAGCCCTTACTCACCCTGTTCTGGGCTGTCACAGCTCACCTCATCCATCACTTGCAATCAGTCTGTTTCTCACAAAAAATTATCACTAAAATGTGTGACAAATAGCTCAAGGCAGAAAGATTTGCCTGGCCTCCATAAAGAATGGGTAACGGAGAAAGATAGGGAGCACGTTTGTCACGAACTGCACTTGCCACTGCTGTTAGACTGTGAGGGCCCAGCCTGTCAGACACCGGTGGGAGTCTGTAAGACTGTAGAGGAGTCTAAATTCCTATGACAGGAATGTGGGGTGTTCATTAGAGAAGCAGCTGGAGTTGGTTTTAGGACTAAACTTTCCAATGTCCAACATAGCCAAGGCTATGAGAAGCAATCCCCAGTCTTCAGAGAGCATAGCATTGCTGAGCCTGGCAGGGGATGGCTTGGGCTCGGCAGAATGCCAGGGGAGGTTGGCAGTGCTGTGATGGAGGCCGGGGAGCAGGCAACGGAAGACAATCTCCCCACGGAAGACAATCTCCCCACGTGGCCCCTGTGGAATTTTATGGTTTATCTCAATAAGGCAGATGAGAGAAAACACCAAAAGGCTCAAAACAAAACAATAAAACAAAAACCTTAAGCAAGGGCTTTGAGGGGAGTGTGATAGCAGAATCTTAGTTGACAAATATTTGCTCTTTCAATTGACATTAACACTGAGCAGCTACTAGGTGCTTGGCATGAAAATTGCACAGCCAAGGGCTTCAGGGCCCAGACATTGAGGCTCATGCTTGGATTTGAATCACAACTCAACTTCTGACCAGCACATAACAATGGGCAAGCTGCTTAACCTTTTTAAGCCTAGTTGCCTTATCTGTCAAATGATGGTACTTAACTCATAGGGCTGTTGTGAATATCAAGTGATATAATCCATGTAAAGCTGTTAAAACAGAGCCTGGTATACAGTAAGCATCAATAAATGTTGGCTGTAATTATAACACTGGTTATGCAGAGTAGAGATAAAGTAGTCTTTATCAGTGAGGAATTTACATTGTGATTAGAGAAACCACATGGAGATAGTTCTCGATGCCTTTTTTCCTCTTCGCCTCCCACAACCAATCACTTGTCAGATTTTATAGGCATTCTATTACTTGTTCTCATCCTTTCCTCTTCTTGTTTTTTTTTTAAATCCTCACCCGAGGATATTTTTTTCCATTGATTTTTAGAGAGAGTGGAAGAGAGAGGTAGAGAGAGAGAAACACCGATGTGAGAGAGAGACACATGGATTGGTTGCCTCCCAAGGCCGGGAGCTTGCAACCGAAGTATGTGCCCTTGACCGGAATCGAACCCAGGACCCTTCAGTCCACAGGCCAACTCTCTATCCACTGAGCAAAACCGGCTAGGGCTCATCATTTCTTATTGATATCAAAATTTCATAGATTTAAAAAAAAATACAAGAGACCCACTCAGTTTAGTCCCAATTTGCCTTTCCAGTGTTATTTCCACTCTGCTACTATAGGCAAAGTAACTGGACTCCCTCCCTAATCTGCGGAGTGGGGGGTGGGGGGAGCTGTATTTTTCTGCTTCTTTCCTTCCAGCTATGACCTTCAAAGTCTGTCTCTAAACTTTTCTTTCTCTGAAGTGTTTTCTCTCACTCTCCTCCTTTGAACTCCTATAGTCTTTGTACTCCCTCACATATTTGGCAAGTTTTTCTTTTGTTAGATCTCTTTCCCTATATGATGTGTCTCCCCCTTCAAATACTATTATTTGACCCGTTCCTTCTCAAACAGTGGCCTGAATTGTCCTGTCTCAAAACTAGTCACTCCATGTAGCAAAAGCCTGATGTTACACATTCATTGTAGAGGATGCTGCTAGCCTTGCCTCTCATACTAACGCTATAAAGTGCACATTATTGGTTTTGAATATCCAGCCTAAGGCCAAACAACCTGGCTTCAAAACTCAGCTCCAACTCTAATATGCATTGTGACTTTGGACAAGTTATTTTAATTCCTGAACCTCAGTTTCCCTCTCTAGAAAATGGTAATAATTATATATTTACCTCTGCATTTTTGGAAGGATTAACTGAGATACTGCATAAAGAGCTTCCCACAAGCCTGGTACATTATTAATAAGGGCTAATAAATATCTAGACATTAAGTAGGTCAATTTGACACATTTCAAGTTTTCTTGATTTTGCCTCCTAAATATCTCTTGACTCTAATGATTTAGATTGAGCTAACGCCATTTCTTCCTTAGACTACTGTCAACTCTTTTACTAGGTGACCCCCTGGTCCATTCTCCTCACAGCAGCCAAAATAATCTTTGCAGACACAAATTTCTCACACTTATAATTGCCTACCTTTGCTTTATAACCCTCCTCCCTGCTCCAAGGCTTCCTATTCCTTCTAGAATGTGGACTAAATTCCCTCCTATAGCCTCAAGCCTGCCTGCTCGGGCATTGCAGCCTCTCCCCTCCCCTCCCTGCCGCACTTCATGCCTGTTTCCACCACTGTAACCTCTGGCCTTCTGTCAGCCACTCATTCTCATAGTGTCCCTCTGTCCTGCCCTAGCCTCTGCACGCTCCTCTCTGCCTGCAGCACTTGCCCCTGCTTCTTTGACTGACCACCCCTCTTACGCATCTTTTACTCAGCTCACTGTTGTTACACTTTGCATTGTCTGTGTACTTGATTAAAGCCCCAGACGGTAGCATTTGCTTACCACTGGCCTGGCACTCTGCATAGAGCAGGCACACAGTAAATATTTGAGGCATAAGTGGATGAATGAATGTTGGCTCTTTCCCCATGGGACTTCAGAGAAGCAAGTCGTGCTGTAGGCAGAATTATAGAAATCGGATGTCCTGAATTCCAGCCTGAACCCCGCGCTCTAAAGAACTGAATTTGATCCTGGGCTCAGCGAGTCTGGAACAGCAGTGCACATCTTTGTGTTTCTGTATTGTGAGAGGCAGTCAGGTGGGACTTTCTCTTTTTTTCTTTCTTAGCAGAGAATAAGGTTAAGAAGACTAAGACTTCATAGGTCTTATGCTAAATTAAATTTAAAGACTTCATTACATATTTTTATTAAAAAATATCCTTTTTGTCCCTGGGAAATATTCATCTTTCCATTGCTCTAGCTTTTCTTTTGAATATCCCACTTTATGGCTGAGAGACATTTTAATGATTCATTTTCCAGTGCTTACCAGGATAGGGGTAGGAGCCAGAGGTAAGGGGAGGGATAGGGTCTAATGCTTGTTTAGTGCCTGTCCCATATATCAGGTGAGCATTTTAGAATATTATGCAAAAAGGAGCACAGGACCTATCTGAAATGTTCTTACCCTCTTCAGTTTTCGGATAAAGAGAGTTAACAGTAGCCAGAAGAGGGTCGCAGCCACACAGGTGCACGTGAGAGTGATTAGCTCCAGATTTGACTTGTCTGAGGTTCCTGGAAAACAAAAACACCAAGGTGGTTAAACAGCGACTCCCAAACGCAGGGTCTTTGTGATTTTATTATTTATTTTTTAAAAAATACGTTTTTATTGACTTTTAGAGAGAGAGGAAGGGAGAGGGATAGAGAGATAGAAACATCAATGAGAGAGACATATCATCAATTGGCTGCTCCTGCATGCACCCCCACGGATTGGGCCTGCAACCCAGGCATGTGCCCTGACTGGGCATACCATCAATTGGCTGCTCCTGCATGCACCCCCACTGGGGATTGGGCCTGCAACCCAGGCATGTGTCCTGACTGGGAATTGAACCTACCACCTCTTGGTTCCTGGTTCTGATGCTCAACCACTGAGCCATGCCAGCCAGGCGGGTCTTTGTGATTTTATAAAAGATGTCTAGTGCCCCTAAATGTTCATCATGGCGAATGCAATCTGCTGGCTCGAGAATCCGTGTCTGGGACAGGTCTTCCCATACCTTCCGTTTCAGGCAGGGTCCACAATATCATCACAATAAACTCACACATCAATTAAAAGTCTTTCCAGAAATTTTGCTGTTGAATTTGCAAACTTCATAATCCCAGAAATAGCTAATTAAAAATCAGAGGAGAAGTTAAAAATGGGAAAAAAATTATGGCAGGAACAAAAGCCCATTAAAGTGCTAAATCTGGAATATGTTAAATCTCCCTAATGGGTTTTAGAGGAACTTCTAAAGAAAAAGAAAAAAAATTACATAAAAGGGCTCCTTTGGGACTCACAACATTCTTCAAAGTAGATTTAAAAAATAAAAATAAAGCTCAAGGACTGTCACAATTGCCTGCTCACTGCTTTTGGAACAGCCAGGCCAAG